AATTCTTTCATTATGGTTTTTACTTCTTTTTAGCTAAGAGATTATTTCTGATATGATTTTCTCTATATTCTTCTGCAGTTATTTTTTAACTTCAGTTACTATCATTTCAGAAATATCAGGTGTGTCATTTCTAATTTATTCTATTGACATATATGCCAATCTTCCTGGACTAGTTCTTGGTGGGACAGAGGTTTGAGATTGCATTTTTCTCCTTCATTTTGTCATTTTGTGTTTCAAAAATTTTTTATTTTGTTTTCTGTGATGATGCTTATGAGTTTTGGTAGTAGGTAGCTACATTATTAGCATCAAGACCTCTCTAGGAAAAGTCTTTTCCTTGGGGATATCATTTTTGTCTAGGAGATTCTTGGTTTGTGTCTGTCCCAAAATCCTATCTCTCCAATTAGTTGAGAGTGAGATTTTGGTTTCTGATGTTCTCTGTTCCCAGTTTTTCCTGTAGGATATGGTGACTTTATTACCCCAGATCTTTCCAATATTGTTACACAAGTGCCAACAACTGATTACAACAGATGTGACATCTACCTACAGTAGTACAATTAGCAATAATGACAGCATCAAGCACAATTTAGAAATTAACAAACTGTGGTAACTATTAATTTTATACTTTAGAGCATAGGAGCAAAGTCTATAGCTATAGAACAGAACTAATCATAAATTAGGAGTTTGCATGTTTACCCTTGTTTCAGTTGATTTACTCGGAGTTCTTCTGGAAGAGCTTGTTGCCATGACCTAGGACATTGCTGTTCTGGATGCCCATCCTATGGTTTAGGGTAATGGGCCAGGCATTTGAGTTCCTCTGGACAGAGGCTGTGGAGATTGCAGAGGAGTGGTGAGAAGGATATTGCCCCTCCTGTGTGACTTGGCACAGCTCTTCAAGATTCCCTCAATGAGAGGGGTGGTGGGTGGCGTCTCTCTCCTCAACAATGATCATTATATTGCATATTGTTATCTTTACAATAATTGATCAAATTACCAGATATAGAAAACTAAGAGTTAAACAAAATAAACACTAACTGTTCCTTTCACTGAATTAACAGTAATTAGTAGTACAATTAGCTTTATTATTTTATGAACAATAATCTCATATATAGGTACTATGTACAATATGTACCATATACATTAGTATATACACTCTAGACCGAAAGGTTTATATTCTGCATTAGGCAAGTAGCATGCTTCCTTAAACGTTTTAAAGGAAACATTTTAAAAAGAAAAAAAACAAATATTTTCTCAAATAGAAGCCAGAGAAGCTTTTATAAATGTATTTAGTACAGGGTCTACAGGGTTTCATTACATGGATCGGACCTGTAGTGATTCTCCTGTTTTCAGCTTCCCAAGCCCTGGGATTACAGGTGCACATCACCATGCCCAGTCTCAGTCACTGTCTCAGCATGCCCCGGGGACAGAGCCAGCGTGCCAAGCTGGGTGATTGAACCCGACCCCTGCATCTGCCTAAGCAGGTGTTTCATCAGCTGAGCTACCTGGCTGGCCCCAGAGAGGCCTTAAGTGAGATATCTTCATGTCTTTCCATTCACCCAGCATCAAATGTCTTGTTTCTTATCTCTTTAGAAAGAGAAGCCAGTTGGGATCATGTTGCCAGTCCGGGCAGAACCAGAATAATAATGGCCAATGGCTGTGGGACTCTGTTTTGTCCTACATCAGAACAAGGCATCTGACACTGTGAGATAATGCAGTACATATAATATTACTTGGTTGCTGACATTGTTATGAAGTAGGTGTTTTCCTAATCTGACAAATGAGGAAGCTGAAACTTGGGGAGACTCAGCGTCTGTCCATGTTGGTTCAGCTTGATGGGGGAACTGGCATCTAAGCTGGTGTCTCAGGGCAGCCTATTGAAAGAGACCATACCTTGTAATACATGTGGGATGCACAGCTAAAAATAATAATGTGACACCTAGTTTTCACCTCACAAGACATAAGACAGTGTCATCAGGAAATGAATGTAATATTTTCCCATTTTTTCTGTTCTTTATGCAGACAAAATGTAAAATCTGCAGAGGGCAAGAGCAGCCTTAAAGTCTTGTTTCCTGGTTATACTAACTATATACAGGTTCCTACTGTGCCTCTTGCTTCATAAAAAGAGAGGCTTGAGGTATTGATTAGTGCCACAGCATTTGACCTGCATGTGCAAGACCTCTTCTAGCTCCAGCATTGCAAAAGGAAAGGCGGGGTAAGGGTTAGAGCATGCCATCCCCTTCTGAGCACCTCGCGAGGGCGCTGTCCGCGGTGCTGAGTCTCTCTTTCTGAGTGGCCCTGTTACATTGTCCTTCCGTTCACCCAGCGCCAAATGCCTTGTTTCTGGAGACGCTTCACAGTCATAAAATCTCTATTTTTAATTTCAGACTGCTCTTTCACTGAGAGATTGGTTTATTTATTGATTCATTTCTTTTTGCAAGCTTGACTTTGCAAAACACCTCCTCACCCATTAGCTTTCCCAAGGACTTTTCTGGGAGTGGAAAACTTGGGAAAGTCTCGGCTCTCTCCTTCACTCTGAAATTTGATTTATTTTGTTAGAAAATGGGGCTCTTCCCATACAAGGGATTCAGAACCGGCAGTCACAGGGAGCGTGGTGTTTAAGTGCTGCCCCAGCTCAGAAGGCTTCTTAGGCCAACAGTTGTAAGCACAGCGGCGGTTCCAGAAAGAGTGTATGCCAGTGGAGATGCTGCCATCTTGCAATACTCAGGAACAAATGTAGGATGTGTTCTCCCCAGCACCCAGAGGACTGGGAGCTCAGGGAAAGGACAAGCAGATCGGTGCCTTTGCTGATGGAGTCTGGAACTGAGCCCTTTCTTGTAGCCTCTGAGAGGTCAAGGACATGAAGGTCACACTGACAGAGTTTTCTCAAAGAAACCTAAGAGCCATATCTTAGAAAAGAGAGGAAAGAGGGGAAGATTGAAAGACACAAAGAAAAATGCACCTCTGATTCTTCCTTTCCTAATCTGAACTCCAGACCTGACACCACCCTCTCCATTTGCAAGCTAATTGAAGAAAAGCAAAGGTTCCAGGTAAATTTTTTATTGAGATAGAAACAAAATGAGCTCAGAAAGGAATAAGTGTATTCCTTCTTTATTAAATGCTTCTTCATTTATTTCTTCTGGGAAGAACAAACAATAGGCATGCAAAGTCCGTGCCAACTTTAATCACCTCAGTGAAGGAAGCCAACTCACTCCCTTTCTCTGGACATCACATACTTCCTAAGAATAAGCTAAGGAAGAATAAAGGCTGCAAGTTAACTGCTGCCATCTTTTACTTATACAGCCAATTGGAAAATAAGCAGATGATGTGCTCCTTCAGTAATATTTTATCTTTTGGGAAACTTAAGAAAATCATTTCTCAGAGAAGCACATTTTTCAAGTTTTAATTGACTAAGAAAATCTTCATACATTTGTGGTCACACATGTGGTAGTTTGATATTTGCATACTTTGTTAAATAATTAAATCAAGCTAATTAACATAGCAAGGAATCCCCTCCCATTTATTCCTTTTGTAGTGATGACATTAATCTACACTTCTGGCAATTTGCAAGTATACAATGCACTGTTATTTATAACCATCATACTGCACAACAAATCTCTAGACTTATTCCTCCTGTTCAAAGTTTATCTTCCACTCAGTACATCATTGTTCTATGAAAATTACCTAACCCTAAACTTGAACTTCAAAAATCATTAAAACAATTTCCCTGGGAACTAAAAATCACTACTCACTATTCAGTCTAAAATACTTTTTAATTCTTAAGTTCCAGAGTCAACAATGAACTTCCAGTGTGAAGTAAAGGAGGATTGAGTGAATTCTCTCGCAGACACCAGGCGAAGGATTACACTTCTGCTTGTAATATCACTGGGTTCTATAAAGGCATTAGAAAATATACAAGGATACAAAAGTCCCTGCTTCAAAATGAGGGAACCTCAGCCACACTCAGGCTAAGTTATCATTCCTTCCTTCCAGCTGGGCCACTTAGGCAGGTATTTCCCCCTCCAGTAGCCGATTAGTGACCGCTATTTTCAAATATGCAGGCAGGTGAGACACTGCAAGGCCAATAAAGACCTTTGTTTGCAGTTTCATTCTCTCCTTGTTAGAATGAGGCCGGGATCCAGTGAAGGCAAGTGTCTTACCCAAGGGGACTTCACCAGCAAGAGGCAGGCTGAACACCAAAGTCACATTTCCTCAATGTGCCCAGCACATTTGGTTGTGAATTTAAAAGGAATGATCTGGGATGCATTAAAATGTAAAGAATTTTAATGGCAGAGCTGGGGCCATGCCCAGGATTTACTGTGCATAATGCCACTGCAGAACTACACTTGAAGAAGTCCTATGTAAATCTCTCAAGAATTGACTGTTTGCAAAGCAAGATATAAAGTAGCAATGGAATTTCAAATCATAGCCTTAAAAACACTGATATTCTCTCCCACTGTATCTCAAGTCTTTAAGTGTTTGTGGAATTTGCACAATTCACAAAAGCATGTGATGTTGACCATCACGGGGGCCCCTGGCAGACCCTGAACCTCTGACTTTTCTTCCTCTCACAAGCCTTCCCAGCTAATAGATTTCTAAGGTAATGAGAGAATTGTTTCACTCCAAGCAGCATTGGAAACTGTAAAATTTTATAACTACTGATTTTTTTCCCAGCACACAAATTCTCACTCATCTAATGGATTTTCTATTTAATAATATATTCGCTTATTCAGTCAAAGCTATTTACTGCATATCCAGCAATTGTGTCTATAGTCCTCAAGGTAATTTCACAAATAATCAGAAAACGACACTGGAAATTGTGGGTATCAGGTGGAAAGTCCTAATGCCTTACACGCAGTACTTATCGTTATAATAAAACCTACAAAAATGTAACGCTATAAAACTTTAATGCTTATAACTATTTAATGGGTTCTCAAGTTATAGGAAATTTACATAAGCATGATAACAAAGCCATAGCCAGAATTAGAATTAATGAAAATAGAAAGTGAACTTTGTAGATTAAGATTTATTAAATGAAATAACTCAATTCCAATGAAAGCTTTATATTTTAAGAGTTCACTCCCTTAGGAGTGTATTTTAGGGGCTCACTGTGGCAAATAACAATGGAAACCTGAAAGTGGAAACTCCCAAATTTTAATTAACCTTGATGAAATGCAACAGACTTCCATTGTAGCTAACTGGAAAGGATAAGATTATCAACACTAAATCAAAGAGGATTCCAAAAGATCCATCATTATTTTTGACAGAGGTGTTAATGTACTATTATTTCAGATTAGTCTCCTTATTTGTTGATCCTCTATTTTGTTCCAGAAGAAACTTAAAGCTGTTATTTCAAATTAAGGCTTTCTTTTCAGCGTTTTTGGATGAAAGAGACAGAAGGATTTCCACCAGCAGATTCTCAGCTGACACAGAGTTCTGCCCATAGCGTCACTTTATTTTCTGCAGAGCACTGCAAAGGATTCCAACGTCACCTACAAAGAAGAACACCATTCAGATGGGCCACTCACGAAAGGACCAAACAACCCTCTGGTGTCCACCATGGGTGAAGCCCTGAGGGCCCTGATGTTCGTAGATGAGCTACGCGTCCTCCAAATTTCCTCAGTTTGCAGCACTGTGGGGAGGTGGGAACAGGGAGTGTGGGATGCGCTCGGAAGTGCTTGGGCCGCTACTGTACAGAATGTGCTCTCTCCCACTGACTGTTTCTCAGGAGGGACAAAGTGGGTTTCTGCAGAGGCAAATTAAGAGCTTCTCTGTCCCCTTTTTATGTGACAGCTACAAATGCTTCAAGGAGCTAAGTTACTAAATCTGAAATTGTGGTTACACAAATCTCCTCCCTTGGGGTTACCTGATGTCTTCTTACCAGGAAAAATTCCCAAGACTTAGCTCAAATTTGGTAATTTTATTCTGGACTTACAAGGACTGCTAAGCTTTAGCCGGTTCTCCCTGTGATGCTGACACACACGAAACTCTAAGGAAATGTAGTCTAAGCAGAGAACTCAGCCTAGATTGTCAGACCCCTGGACAGAAGCACCATGCAGTCAATTCCATTTATGCCCTGGTCCCCAGGGATACAGACTCTTCGCAGAGGTGCAGAGACCCTGGAGGTTGGCAAGCCCCGCTCCCTCCTCAGTCTTGAAGACACAAAGGACGGAGAGGTGATGAGGACTTACACAAGGTCACATAGCTCGAGGAACCCCTTAGTTTCTAACGTGTTTCTCTGTGATCCTAGAAACTACCTTGTAAACAGTGGAGCTGTCCTTGCCTTTCCATGGAACATGAGAAAGAGTGCAAAACCAGCCGTGGCCTCGCCCCTCTGTCTTACACGCCAGCCTCTGGAGTGCCTGGCTTGCTTCCTCAGTTAAGGCATCACTCCCAAAGAGTTTCTGAGACAGAGTGAGTGTGGTGGGGTGGGGAGGTACCAGCCTGGGGCTTTCTCAGAGTGGGGGGGGGGGTCACAGGTAGCCATGCCTAAGGTGCCATGACCACGGTGGCCAGGGCCAGTTCTGTGCATCAGAGGTGGCACAGGTCATGTCATGGGGAAACTTCAAGGCTGCCTGCCCTCTTGACGTGGCTCGCACTGCACCAGGCGGGGACCCCAACTTGGCCTGCAGTTCCTCCCTTACAGCACCCCACACCCGCTGTATTTCATCTCTTCATGCAATGGCTCCGTGACCCACTATAATTTTTAAAGAATAGATACAGGGATTTGACGTGAACCCAGTGTGACTCTCTGCTCCAGTCCAGTCTGGGAGACAGGCAAGTCAGCAATTACATAACAATACTAATATAATAATTTGCAAGTGGCATAGGCAGGAAAGACATAGGAAGGGCATCCAACCTAGTTTTCTTAAAAGAAGAAAATCTACGCAAGGCTCAGAAGATGAGATGGCCCTACGACTCTCCAATGGATAGAGAAAGGATATTTTAAACAGAAAGAGTGGTGCGGGAAAAGGCCTGGAGATAGGAGACAGCAAGGGAACTAGAATTCAATCAGTGTTGCGAGAGAATAATTGGAAAGGCCAGAGGCAGAATGGGGTATGCTCAAAGTCCCTGGAGCAGCTGTACGAGGTCTGTCAGTGAGGGAGAGCGAAAGGCCGGAGCTGAGCTCCTGTGTCGCTAACAAAGCAAATAGGAAGTGACACTTAGGGGATGGGACTGCAGGCAATGTGGTGTCTGTCAGATCCTTAGAGGACAGGGATGGAAAAGCAAGGGGTGAAAGGAAGCTAGGGTGACCGCCAGGTGTGGAAAGGTTGTGCCTAGGACAGGACAGAACCCCAGGGGTCAAGAGTGAGATGCCTGAGGTAGTCAGACCTCTGCACCAATTCTCCCTCAGCAACCCTGCGGCCTCTGCAGAGACACTTTCTCCTTAATTTGAAGTCTCACCACTTCTGCTGTTCTCAAGGTAAGAAGTCCGAGCCCTCTACTTCCAGGAGGACAATGTGGCCCCGTGAGGTGTACCAACTCACTATTGATGGAGTCTGCCAAAATCTTCAGCTGCTGGGTGTTGTCCAAGACCTCGATCCTCTGGGTGTAGGGGTTGTAGTGCACTGAGAAGGGCCGAGGGATTGTGGCAGCGAAGTTCCTGAAGGCACAAGCACATGCCTGAGTGAAGGGCGCTGTTGTGTGGACGTCACTCTAAGCGTTCTAGGGACGTTACCCTCTTCTGGAAACGCTGAGAGCTCACTGAAGCCGAGGGTGCCAGAGCTAGGGCTGGGAGGGGGAGTGGCGCTCTCTCAGGGCCTCTTGGGGAGGCTTCGCGTGTGTCACCATGTGTGCAGACTCATCTGCACACAAATTGAGTCGCCTCATGCCAAGAACACAGAGCCAGCTTACAGTACAGGCATGCAATACAATAAAGCCATGAGCTCTTATTATTAAATAAGATCAAGAGAGTAAAGAGAACCTAGCCAAAGAGTGCTATGCAGAGAGAAAAACAGAAAGCTCTGAGATATTGGTACACATTGTAAAGAAGGAAATACAGCTCTCAGGAGCTGAATAAAACTCTAAGCTAGCAGCACACATGGAGTAAGCCCGGTGACTCAGGAGGCAGAGGCAGAAGAGCTGGCCCGAGATCCTCACCACTCCTTAGTGAGCTCTCCCAGCCCAGTGAGATCCTGGCACAAAAGGGGGTGGAGCTTTGCATCAAGGTCAGTCCCAGACTCACCCCCTACAAAACCAGCCAAGAAACCACAAAGCCCAATCTTCTGTATCTTGAGAGCCATACTGAATTCCAGCTTCTCGAAACTCTTTTGTAAATATCATTCCTAACTTAACCTTCACAGAAACCTCGAGAAGTACTATTATATTCTCATTTTTCAGATCAGGAAACTGAGGCTTGGACACCTAATGACCTGGGCCACTGCGGTCAGTAAGCTGCATGCCTGGGAAGGAACCCAAGCGATTCCAGTTGGTCTTCCTCACTTTCTCACCTTCCCAGGAATTATTCCTGGCTTGGAGAGAAATCCTACCAAAGCACCTCTGTGAGGGGCATCAGCAGTATAATTAACAAGAAATTCCACACACATCACAAATACTATTTTTAAGACTTCCCCTGGTCAGAGTGAGAGCTGCTGAGCCAAAGACAATAGGAATGGAGGCAGGAAGGGCCCCCAAGCAGTGGGGGCACCCCAGGGCCTGCATCAGGCTGCACGAGCTCAGATTCTGCCTCTGCCAATCATGGCCCGTGTCCCTGGGCAACATTGCCTGCTCTGCAGGTGCCTCTTCTCCCTCCTCTCAAAGATCCAGCGATGGCTGTCTCACCCCAGAGAGGGGTGGCAAGCACTGTGAGAGTTTGGGGGCTCTTGATTTACTCTGATGCTGGGCCGCACCCTCTGTGCAGTGCCTCCATGTGCCCCGAGCTATGCACCTGCACTGCGGATGCATGTGCCCTGGAATTAGCATAAGGCTGGGCTGCCTCCTGCAGTGATCCTTGGACACATCCCAGGAGGGCCAGCCATGGTGGTAAATTGTCTGGACAAGGACAAGGAGATCTTGGGGGGAAGATGGAAAGGAGGTAAGAAGGCCAGGTCTGGAGGTATAAAGTGAAGGGGGCGCTTTTGGGTTAGGAAACTTCCCTGACTGATCTGGCAGGGCACTGTGGTGGCCACGCTGTGCCCACGTGGAGGCAGGGCTGAGGTGGTGTCCACACCAAGAGCGATCAGGTGGCAGGGCTGTCTGCAGCTGGCACATCCAACCACCCGCAGAGGTTGGGACAGCGCCGGTGAGCTCCAGCTGCTGCACAAGGCTGTGCAGGGCCTGGAGTCCAGGGCCTGGGGTCCTGGCCAAGACCCCCAGAATCAACAGCAGCCTGAGTGGGGAGACCTGGGGAGCGAAGGGCCCCGTGGGGTGTTCCTCACCTCACTTTCTCCTTGGCATCACTGAAACTCTCAGCCACATAGTAGAGAGGCTGGAACTCAGTGATGGTGTATGGCTGGACCGCCATCTTCTCCAGCTCCAGGGGCAGGAGCTTCGGCTTGTCGGACAAGCAGTGCTGCAGGCACCAGGGGAAAAGCTCTCAGTTAAATCCAGACCAGGATCCCTGAGCTCCCTGTCCTCACTCCAGTTCCTTCCAGGCTGCAGCCCAAATACAGTGAGCTGTGTTGTACATTCAGGATCCAACCCTGAAGAGCTCTTCTAAAACTGACACCAGGACAGAAAGTGGAAAATTCATCCTGACCACTTTCAGCTGAGGGGATGGATGGACACTGCCAGAGCCATACCTGCTTGGCCTGTGCCTGCATACATTCACGGCTGTACACTCCAGTCAAGCTTGGGGCCAGGAGGTGCCTCTTCCCCAAAGGCTCTGTACTTGCAGATGAAGTTCCCCCAAGCTATAGCTGCTAGGGTACCAATAAAGGGTGACTTCCGAACCTGCATCTCGCCATGGATGCAAATGAGGCTCCAAATGTCCCAAGAGAACTGCCTCTCTCACCCAATACTTTCAAATCCATCTTTGCTCCCTGGTAGGGTCGTACCTGTAATTCACCAAAGGATGACAGGAGCCCAGCACCATAGGCCCTGATGGAGTCTCCTTGCTTGCAGAGCCCAAACTCCACAGTAAACCAGTAGATCTAGGAGAGAAGGCCAGGCCGGGCACACTCTTGAGGAAGAGGAAGGCAGAAGACAGCCTAGGACCACAGCTGGCCCCTCCAGGTGGGCCTGTTCTCTAACCCAGTGTGGCTACTTCTCCGGTCCCATGTCTCACCCTATCCCATCTCCTGTTGAGCAAAGACTTGGCTGACCCCAAGATATGATGCGAAACTCTGGAAGGCATTGAGAAGCCCCCCCAAATATATCCCAAGTACTGCTCTCTCTACAATGGAACTCCTTTACTAGAGTGATATGTTCCTACAATGCTCTTAAATTAATAGTGATGATCAGGGAATCTTACCAGGCAGAGCTGTTGCAGGGAATTCAGAGATAAAAGAATCAGGGAGAATTTCATGTTCATGCTAAAAACCTGGGCATTGCTGAAGTGAACTATTGTATTTATCCCCTCAGATAACCAAGTTGTTTTCTTTCTAATGCATCCTAGATGCCTGGCCTGAGGAAAAAAGTCCTAGGGCCCTGGAGCCAAGAAGAACCCAGGGCCAGTTAGCTGCTGGAGACAGGCGGAGTCATGGAGAACCAGTGCTCAGTTGCCAGTTGAGTTGGTTTGTGTGACTAGAGAAGGCTGAACCCAGGGAGGACATGAAAGCTCGGTAGCCCTGAGCTCCTCCCATGCAGGAGAGAGGTTTGCAGCCCAGGGAAAGAAGGGAGCTTATTAAGGGCAGAGAAAGAAGCCAGGACAGCTCCCCGCCCAGTGTATCAATAGCTTAATTTTTCTGAGATGTTAGGTTGACAGTGGGACTGTCATTGTTATGGTAGCCAACACCATGTTCTGAGTCTTGAGCTGGTGTTTTGATTCTGACTGACAAACATATCCAGCCGCTTCTTGGATCTCTGTAGCAGCTCATTTTAAAGTTGGGGCTTACACAGACTTGATGCCCATGACAGACCTCTGAGGCAGGCAAGACATACGCTGATGCGCCCAGGGGCTCAGAACATGGAGAGAGACATACTGGATGTTTTCAACCTTTCTGATGAGCTGAATTCACAAAATCTGCTAAGGCAGTTCACCTTAATGGTAGGCTTACATTTATTTGCAATTGTTAACTCCAACATAAACTTTTATTTTTCCAATTTCCTGCCTGGGCACTTAGTGAGAAATGTGGGTCAGTGTCAGGGGAGGAATTTTATAAAACCGGAGAGGAGCAAAAGGAAGAAAACACCTCGTAGGCCACTGAGTCAAGGTTTCCTTGACTCCAGTCCTTATTTTTGCATGTGAGAGGAAGGAACTTAGCAAGAATGAGCATCATATCATAGTGATATATGTCTACCTATGTTTATAGCAGCACAATTTGTGATAACAAAATCTTGGAAACAACCAAGATGCCCATCACCTGAGGAATGGATGAAAAAGATGTGGTATTTTTATATAATGGAGTACTACTCAGCTATAAAGAATGATAAACTTGAAGCCTTTATATTGAGAGGGCAAGGGAATCTCAAGGGCTATTGCTACAGCTTGTGCGTATTTCCCAGAACACCATTTAAAGTGATGCATAAACATCTGCATGCAGCAGATTGAAAAATAAGTTCATTAAAGAAAATATCTAAATGGAAATTTTACTTGTCACCTGCATGTTCTGATTTCCCCCTAAATGGCCTGACTTCCAAACAAAGAGCGGCTCTCCAAAGAGCCTGGGCTGTAGCCTCCTGCACCCCACCCCGAGGGAGCGAAGAGACTCACGGTGGCCAGCTTCTCGATGTACTCGTCGGGCGCCCCCAGAGAGGCAAGGCCGATTTCCTGCAGTTGAGGAAAACCAGAGTCACTGGGACAGCCCGTCTCCAAATGCCACCCCGGCTCCCAACCCATATGTGACCCCAGGAAGTGACACATGGCCAGACACCTTTGAAAGAGCCCTGAGAGACACTGTGTCTTCCTGGGCCACACCCCTCAGAACCACAGATCCCCAGAGCAAGAGACATCCTTCACCTTCACTTATTGCCTTTGTTACAGTTGACAGATGAGGAAACTGAGGCACACCAAGAGGAGGTGACCTGCTTATGGTCACACATCTGGCTGATTCCAGCCCAGTGAGGATTCCCTACAGCCCAAACGGAATGTTCCTAGAACACTGAGTCTTAAACAGGGACCTTGATGACAGCACAGGGGAACTGTGGATAAGTGACAAGTGTCCTCGCAGGTGTTTGCACTGCTGCAGTCCGAAATATCAGGGATCCGGAATCCCTTCCCGCCATAGCTCGGACTGCAAAACTTCTCCAGTGGTCTGACTCTTCTACAGCTCTTGCTGTGTGTGTGTGTGTGTGTGTGTGTGTGTGTGTGTGTGTGTGTTCCCAACTATACAATTCATTCATTCTAAAAGTATTTATCCAGTGCCTTCTATGCACCAAGCAACATACAAAGTAGAGATCCTTGACCTTGCAGTTTGTAGTGCAGACAATAAATAACAAGAGTCTACATAGATGTGTGAAAAGGGATACATTCTTCAGAGAGAAAAAACACATGGAGAAAGGAACAAGGGGGTTAGGAGTCCCAGGGACTGTGTGGACGTCAAGGTTAAGTATCCCTGAGAAGGTGCTGTTTGGGCAAAGACTTAAGGGAGACTGTTGATTCTATGGGCATCTGAGGGAAATGCACCATAACCCAGATCTGCTGCCAGTGCAAAAGCTCCCCAAGGAAGGAAAGTGTGGTTAGCTCAAGGATCAGAGAGGGACCAGGGTGGTTACTGTGATGTGAGGGAGCGATCCAGAGCTGGGTTGTGAGACCATTTTTAGGACTTGGAATTTTCCTTTTAGTGCAATAGGAAGTTGTTTTAGGGTCCTGAAAATAGAGGTACACATGATCTGATCTGTGTCATCAAAGACTCTGTAGGGGATTAAGGACACCAGTGAGTTGGCTACTGTAGTCAACGGGAAGAAATAATAGAGGCTGAGACCAAGATGGTAGCCGTGGTTGCAATGGGAAATAGATTCTATGCATATACTGAAGGTAGAAGCTTGGCATATTCTGACAGAACAGTTGTGGGATAACAGAGAAAGGGCGAGAAAATGTCCTCAACCTCTTTCACTTTCAGCAACTCAAAGGGTGGAGGAGCCATGGAGTGATCTGGATTTGTCTTCAGGTTAGAGGAGGGGATCTCACAATTGTCTTCTGGACAGGACAGTAAAGGAAGATGTTGAGCAGGAAGTTGGATGTGTCTGCCTGGCTGGAGGGTTCAAGCCTGAGCCCACACTGTTTATGATCACAGCTACAGGGCATTGTCCACCCTGAGGTGGAGGAACCTCCCCAAAGGAGTGGTTCAGGACTAACTACTGGGCCTATTTTGGAGCAAGAGGCTACACTTCCTGCATCTCTGGGTCTTGCCCTGAACCAAGCCCACAGACTGACCCTTACTGAGCTCAGAAAATGCTGTCCAAAGTAGAGTGAACCAAATCCAGACACTGCCTACTTTAGCCTGGCTCTCCTGTCCTCTCCACTCTGCCCTATCTCCATTCCAACCACCTGCCCAGGTGGGCCACAGTCCTGCATCTAACAAAACTCCACCAATAATTCCAAGACCAAAATGGTACTCTATTCTCTTAGCCACCATTCTTTCTAATCTCAGAGCTTGCCTAAAACAAGGGCTCTCAATATTTTCCTGTGTTCCATATCAACCCTATAAGGGCCTGTTTTGGGAAGAAATCCCTTGTCATTAGATGCAAAAGAAACATTATCAAGGAAATGTCAAGTGAACCCCGGGCTTCATAGATTACCCAGATCTATGTTATAGATTTGCAATCTGTCCTGACTAAGGGACACCATCATGGCGGCCGTCACTACACTGTCCGTGATGATTTTCCACGAGCAAAGCTCAACCAATCCTTGAACACAACAACTTCTCAATACACCACCAATGCTGAGCTCCACAGTTTCCCAAATTTCACAGAGAAGCAACAGCGTTGTTTAGAGAATTTGTGTCTTACAAATACATCTCTCCTTTACTCCCAAGCAATAAGTTCAGCCTTTTTCTTAGTTTGTGTCAACTATAAAGCAGTAACCTCTTCGTGCAGCAGCAGAGAGCTGACAGGAAATGCTTGTAGGGGTCACGCGTGATGGCATCATCTCTGCTCTGGAATTCACCCTGGGCCCCACGTGTACTTATTTATAATCCTTCCACTTGATCCCCATCCTCCTCTGTGAGTAACAGAACAGGCAGGAAAGGCTTTCACTTCTGCTTCTGTGGAAACTGAGTCATGGGGGAATCACAGGGGAACATGCCAACTTGCCCCTGGCCCTGTGTGTGTCCCAGTCATCCTCTAACTTTCTTGAGACCCCAGCACCTAAGCATGGCTTGAGGCTGCTTCTCAGAGCTAAAGACACATGACAGGACATTTTCCTCTTCCTGAGGCATTGTCTTCAGCTTGCTCGCTGCCGAGGAGGGTGAAGCAAGGTCGAGGCTGCCCCTTGGACAGTGGGGTGAGCACTTTAGCTCTTTACTTATCTACATACTTCTTCACTTTGTCAACTCTAAGTAAGATTGCTGGTTGGGTTCTCAGCAAAGGTCATGCTGTTCCCTTCATACACCAGATGTGCTAAAAATACTGTGAATTTTTAAAAGTTTTAAAAGTGTTTTAGGCACAGTAAAAGGCATATTGCTACAAATTCTCTCCAATGTTAGCTCTTGTTTTGAGCGCACTGATGCCAGCCTTCTTGTCACTTTGGGAAGCACTTCCGGAAGTGCTCTTCCCTGTGTGTCTTTTTTTTTTCCTGTGTGTCTTTAGCAGTGCTCTTTTGGCTGCCTGGTGTCGGGAATTGATCCAAAACATTTACTTTTGATGGTCCTTTTGCTTTTGGGGAGGAGCCAGAAGTCACTTAGTGCCAGATGTGGTGAATAAGGTGGATGAGGAGACACCATGATGTATTTAAAACTTGGGCCTGCCTTTCCATTGAGGGTAGTCAATAGCAACATCTGCCATAGTTTTGGTCACACGTAGTAAAGATGCTCACGTAGTCTCTGACCCTTCCTTGTACGTACATACACAAATGACTGTCTGAAAAAGTAAAAGTGGGAAAGTCCCTGAGAAAGGTTGGGGAGGCAAGTGCTAGGAGGATGTGGAGTTAGGTAAAATGATTTCTGCACAGCGATTGGAAAGGATTATCACAAGCCAGTGTCCCTGGAGTGGGTACTCAGCCATCTGCACACAAATACACATTTTTCTCAGATGGAATCATAGAGCTGCACCTGGCCCCCACTTTTGCAGGGCAAGTGAGGGCCCTTCCATGGGCTCAGCTCCCTGGAGCCATCCGTCTCTATAACCACCAGGAGGCTAAGAAAACCCATTCCTTACCTGGGAAAATTGGGCAAAGCTGCGATCTGAGAACAAGGGCACATGGCCCAGCAGCTCGTGGCAGATGTCCCTGAAAGAGAATGTGCAGAGCTGCAGCATTCGGGGCTCAGAGAGAAGAGCACTGTTGTTCTGAGCGTCCTGCCAAGCTCCTGGCTGAGCTGAGGGACACGGGCACCTCCCACCCCAACTCTCCTCCTTCATCAAGACTTAACTAGGGACATAAAATACTCTCAGGTATTCTGTATGGGATCTCAAAGGCAATGCCGCTCTTCTCTTAGTCTGGATAGAGATCAGCAGCCAGGAAAGAAAGGCCCCTGCCTTATGTGACATGCTAAGTGTCACAGCCATTAGGAACAGGCAACAGTGGTCTGTAGCTATGGATTTGGGGCAAGCTAGTGCATTTTTTAAAAATATAAATTTGTATCAGAATAAGAGAATAGTTAAACTCCAAAGCAGGAAGCACGGTGGCCAACCACTGTCTCCTCTAGCCAAGACCAGGTGTAAGCAAAGCGCCTCCGGAATCCCCTCCTGAGCACTTCAGAGGGGCTCAGACAGCGGCTGTGCTTGTCCCGTCCCCACCCCCACCTCAAAGCTCTGACTTTCAGAGGTGAATGACACCCTTGTTTCCACTGCTTCGGGAGCTTCAAACATTCATTCCCAGGATGCTCATGTCTCTGGGTCCAAATCTGGCCTATCTGGACAGAGCAATCCCCAGGAATAGTTGAGTTCGTCTCCCACTGCTTACGTCCAATAGTCCGGCAGAGACTTGTGGACCAACCTGCCATGAGCCCAAACCTCGTTCCCGGAGCAGGAGGGGACCACAGCCGCCACGGCAGCCGGACGGAGGGCGGTACTCACGGCTCAGGCGTGTACATGGGCTTGGACCCGTGCCTGATGTACTGTGTGCAGTGGAAGACCCTGAAGGCCAGGCCGCCCAAGAAGTCTCGAGACGACAGCAGGCCAGCTACAGGCCGGAGGCGGAAGCCGGTGCAAGCTGGGAGACAAAAAGAGCAGAGCTCAGAGCCCGGCCCGCGGAGCCCCAGCTGCCGCAGGGTCCCACGCAGGGAGCAGACCCCGCGGCTGCCTCGGAAGCCCGGCTTTGGCTCCGGGCGGATTTGGCCGCAGCCTCTGCCACACTAGCTTCTGGGTGGCTGACTGAGCTCAAAGCCCATTTCTGAGCTTCGGTTTTCTCCTCTGGCTTTGGAGCAGCCCAAGATGGACAGAGCAGTGAGGGTGAGCAGCGCAGCCCAGAGCCAGCATCGGACATGGCCGGGGACGCGCTGAGCCCTGCTCCCTGGTGGTCAGCACTAAGCGCCTGGCTGGGGGCTGGGGGGACCTCAGGGAGGAGAGGAGCCCTGTGGAAAGATCAGCCGAGGCTCCTCTCCTGGGCCCCAGCGCATCCGCCTTGTGAAGGGAGGCAGGTGCTCTGGGGTGAATGGTCTCTCACCCCGCACCCAGGAGGCCTTCTGCTCTGCGCTGCGCTGTGAGCCACGCCCTGCGAGGTGCAGTGGGATGCCCAAGTCAACGGGGGAAACCCCTTTTTCGACAGTAGGGCTCTATCACATAGCTCTTTTAAAAGCTGACATTTTAAAAACATCACATCTTAATTCCCAAAAGATGTGATCAGAACATAAGGTGAATGTGTACAGTGACAAGTTTAAACATACCCCGCCTCGCTTCGAGCACGCTCCTCCCGTGGCTGTGGCCCTGTGGGGGCCACATCCACCCCACTCCGATCTCCCACCTCTGCTTCTAGTCTCCCCGGCAGCTCGGCCCAGTGCTGCCCGGCTCAGCACATGTGACGCACAGAGCCCTTCATTTCTGTAGCCCTCTGGCCCATCTCCCCACGAGTTAGGGTGCGGCCAGCACCCGCCAGCTGATCGCTTGTATTTTGCTGAGCTAATACCTTCTAGACAGTAGAACACCTATGACTGGAGATCAAAAAAGAAGTGAAGAAATGAAACCACGTGCATGAGGAACACATCGGCAGAAACGATGGAATAAGTGTGTTTAAAGTGAGGACGGAGTATTTTCAGAGGTTTAATGGAGATGTGTCCTTTACCATAACTTAAAAACTCCAGCTAAACATTCACCATAGTTTTGATCACCCCTGTACCCCCAGCAGTGCTGTGTGGGGTCCTGCCCTGAGACCACCCATCCTGCCCCGCCACGCACGCTGGTGGCCAGGTGGCCACAGTGATGGTGCAGAGCTGGTTGCTTTCAGACGCAGCATCTCTGTCCTTCCCACAATGTCCCTGTGAGGAGCCACAGGCCACTGTCTCCATGTGGCACATGGCAGGTGACAACAGTCAGTCAGGCTACCCAGAGCAGGTCAGAGGCAGGATTCCTCACAGATACAGACTCAGCTCAGAGCTCAGGGCCCCACTTTGAGCCCATTTCTCACACAAGCCCTGTGCCCTAGGGCTCAGGACCCCGGGAGGCCACGGAGTGGCCACACCATGGCCACAGCCGGGCTTGGGTATAGAGGAGGAACACTGAGAACAAGCAGCACAGTGAGCTTGGCTGGGAAGACTCTCCCCAGGGTGGGAGCACTCATCCAGGGCTGACCCACACCCACGCAAGTCCACAAGCGCACAGCTCACATGCGCCCCCTTGGGCTCCTGCCTGCAGGCTCTGTGCCCCTGACTCACTCTGCAGGAACTGGGAAACATCTTCCAGCTGGGGGATGTTGTCCTCGCGGAAGCCGCAGTACTTCTCCAGAAGCGGGAAGATGTGGTTGTGCTCATGGCATGCGTGGGTTTTATACAGGGACTTCAGGGTCCTGAACACTGTCCCCCACGTTTTCTTCTCTTCCTCTGTGTACTCCACCCGGGGGATGGGCTGCCCACTGGAACACAGCACAAGCGAGTGTTTGTGGGTCATTTGGAAGAGAAAAGCTCCACTTCTGGAGCCAGGAAATGTCCTCTCGGCTCCCCTTGTGCAAGAGTAACTTGACTAAATGTGGATACAAGCTCTAGCTCACCGGGTGCTCTGTGGATTTGCTCTCCCTCTGAGAAGTCCCCTGGCCTTTCCACTCTGCTAACTCCCCGAGGATCTCCCCGGGGTGGGGGTGCCCATCCATCTCCCTTCAGGGCCCCGCAGGTGACCTCCAGGTGGAAAGTAGCAACTGTGTGGTAAGCCATTCTTTTAAAAGGTCCTGAGCCGAGTTATGAGCAGGAAGAACACATAAAGACCGAACGCAGCCTGGCCTCCAGGGACAGTGACTTCCCGGAGTGCACGCCTTGTGCTGACTCGGAGGACACAGCATCTGGATCCAAGGAGGACTGTGTGTCTCAGAAGGACAGATCCTGCTCCCAGCAAGGCCCCTCCCGTCCTTTCCAAGTTAGGGCTCAGCTGAGGCCTTGAAAGCAAAGTCACCGTTATTTTCCACAAAAAGGCAAGTAGGGATCAGGGGAAAGGATGAATTTTTGTTTAGGAATTGAAAGCAGGATAATTCACAGCATCTTCTGGTGGCCAGTGGAGATCGTGAAAGAGTGTTAGTGAAAGAGAAAGTTCCTGCCTGCTCATGCACCAGTATTTCAGGACTAAGTGGAATAATGAAGGAGGAAAAAGAGGATTTGGAAATAGTGGCTGCTTCAACACTCCAGCCCAGCGTTTCCTGGCCCTGTGGCCCCAGCCCTGTGGCCTCAGACGACTTGGCAAACCTCTCTGAACATCCGTCTACTAGCTGTAACATGGGTCCATCTTAAGGCACCCTCTTTGGACAAGACCAAGGGAGCTACTATGTGTAAAGTACCTACCATGGTTTCTACTGACAAATAATAACCACTGGATAACTGACCACTATCATTGTAACTGACTATTGTTTAAAAAGAGAGACACCTGTTAGCTTTGTAACTGATTTCAAGGAATGGTAGCATCTTAGGCACCAAGATGTTCTATGGTTGTCATCTGTTGTTCCAAGGACCCAACAACTCTTCCCTATTCTTCTAATACAGCTTTGTCCTTTCCTCTCAGATTGTGAGGTATGGACACCAGGAAGCTCCATCCTCAGCACCAGAAGTGGTCATGCAATCAGATTTGCCCAATCAGAGAGTCTCATTCACCTGGCCACTGGGATTGGCTGAGAGATGGCCTACATGGTAGGCAAGCCAGTGAGTCTCAGTTACGAAGCTCTGGTTGACCTCATTGGAAAGACACAAAACTTGTAACTGAGCTGGAGTATCAGCCTAGAGATGCTGGGTCCATCCCCAAGACAGATGACCACTGCCTGGCAAGAAGGCCTGGGCAGAGGACACTGAGCAGAGAGGATGTGGAGTCCTGGGCCTGCCTGGTCTACAGTCACCCAACAGCCACATAAGTGGTGACAATGACTCTGAAGATAAGGTTGGAACCTAATGACATCACCTAGTTGGTGTACAACTTTGTAAAGCTATTTAACCTTCCTAGGCACTAGCTTCTTTTTTTTTTTTTTTTTTTGTTCCTCGAATGCCTTCAGGGCACTTTTGGCCAGCAGGAGAGTTGTGAGGTTCGAACTCCAGCAACCTGAGGCTGACAGCTTTGTGGAAGCAGCCACTTAAAGGACTGAGCTAGGGCCAGGCCCCCGGCACTAGCTTCTTGATGTGAAAAGTGATGAGTTACTATTAAGCCTAAACTAAATAATCAGTGCAGAACATTTAGCAAAGCCCAGACACACAGCATGCAGGGGATGAACATGACTCGTTACTACTGACATGCTGAAGAGGAGCTCCTGAAGGGGTTGAGGGGAGGAGAGAAGTTGTCCTTTAGTCCCTTCCTGCGCACATCCGGAAAACCCAAAACCACCAAGCCAGTCTCTTCCCAAACAGTGTATTTGATACTTCCATTTTCTTCTGGCTGAAATAGGGTGGGGGAGGAGCATAAGGTCCCAAAGAGAGAGAAGGTTTGGGGGCCAGCAGGGTGCGCTTGGGGTTCCAGGGCCAGCACAGCATCTAGTACCCACGATCAAACCTGAGTCCTTGCGCTTAGCAGGCAGGTGCTTAGACTGCCGATCTAGCTCCCCAGCACTAGCAGCATTTTTAAAAACATATATCGTTAAAGGGATGGCTTGAATTCCTTTCACTCCCTCCTTTCTCTCCCTCCCCCTCCCTTCATCCCCCCTTCAGAGGAAAGGCAGGATTTTGCACACTGGTGTCTTCCATCCTGGAGCAAGGGCCAGGCACTTTGGAGTTTCTCTCTTGTCTCCTTTCCCTGCTAGGCAAGACTCACTGGTGGTAGTTGTAGGCGATGTCAGCAAAGTACTTCCGTCTCGCTCGGTACACGGGATCCTTGAAGCCCTAGAAGAGAGCAGGCGCTCAGTCGGTCATAGAAAGCCTTGGAGGGAGAGGTCTGGCTCCTCTACCAGCGCCTCGGGTGGAGGCTTCTGGGTTATGACTCTGTCTCCTCTTGGTTAGGGAGGAAGTCTCTATTAAAATAAAAATAAAACCTCCATGCAACGTAGGCTGAGCCCTGACACACAGACTGAGGAGGTATGGCAGCAGATTTTTAAAATATACAATAAAAGCCTCAGTTAAACGTGAGATGCACCCCCACTTGGCACGGAGCAACCCATCCTGAGCAACACCTTCCACGTGACACCAAGTGTCCCCACTGTGCCCTGGTTGGAGAGACTAGATACGCAGCATTTCTGACTCCACACCTGGTCAGTTGGGCAGGACTAGTACACTGGATAGCTACAGTGAAGATACACAACATCCACTTACTTTCTGGTCAGGGCCTGCCTCCTAACTTCCTGACAGACAAATGTGTACATGCTTACAGCTACGGCAATTTTTTCCAAAGTATCATTTATTGAGCACCTACTATAAGCTAGCCCACCCACACACGCTAGGAAAGTATTTCCATTTCTAATTAATTCACACTCATTTATTTCTAAATAATTTATTTTAATTTCTAACATACATAATGACATTCTTTATTTTGATCTACAGTTCTCACACCTTGCCAGATGGGTTTAGTTTCTTCTGAACACTGGCTCAGAGAACTGGAGCGGGTGCGAAGGAGAGGCCAGGGTTGGGATCGCCCAGTTCTCTGGTCCCCCCACTCCTCTTCAGTAACTGTCAATCTTTGCAACCCGGCAGGGGCTCAGCTACCACAGTGACCCATCTCCAGGCATGGAAAGGGTGACAGTGGTTGTCCCAGCTGTTCCCAAGCAGCACACTTAGGGAAAGGGGCGACGTGTGCCTTTCAGTATTTGAGCCAGGGTGTGTGGAAGACCACCTGGGCAACGGTGCTTGAAGGAGGAGCAGTTGGCTCCATTTTTCCTGTACTGAGGTGTGCAGGGCTGGCTAAGAGTTTTCCTTATCCTTCGGCTTACTCTAAGCAACGAATATGGGTCCAGCTGAGGTGCTGGGGTAGTCTTTGAAGACAGCACGTGTGTTTCCCTTGGAACCCCCACCTGCTGCTCCCTAGGCACACTTGTGGTTGTGGGGAGCCAAGGGATCCTAAGTGCAGCTGTGAGGAAGACTGGCTGGAACAAAGGCTTTGACCCAGGCCAAACCGGGTTTTACTCCTTCATGAGGAAAGGACTGGCTCGAGGAACAGTGACAGACTGGCGGGAAGGCCATGAGTGCCGAGAGCTGGGCTGCATAGGAGGCCTGCATTCCCCTTCACAATGTGCAGAGAAAAGGGTCTGCAGAGAGTAACCTTGTCTTAGTTACTCTTCTCTCATTGCTGGGACAAATACCCGACACTCAAAATGAAGGAAGGAAAAGTTTATTTAGCTCACAGTTACTGGAGGTTTCAGTCCATACTCATCTGGGTCCAAGGCAGAGCAGCACAGGGCAGAAAGCAACCTTTCATGGCGGTGGCAAAGAACAAGAGTGCAAGGGAGGGGTAGCAGCAGCTCAAGCAGCTAGCTTCTCTTCCCACCTTACATTGTAATGCAGATTACCTGCCCCAGGGTAGAGGAAGTACTCACACCTATGGGTACTTCCCAGTACTTACCCACCTATAGGTAATCCCAGCAGTACTAAGACCCATAATCTCAGCCTTGGATCACACATAATCCCAGGGGATCATGAGTTAACACAAACTCTAAAGTCCTCACCCCATGACTGCATGAGGCTTTGGGGGGACAACTAGACACAAACCATAACAAACCTGCACTACACGAGTGGGGTGCAATCTAATGTCTGGGGTCAGTGCTTCAGCTCCGATGTGCAATAGTCCCAGCCCCAGGGAATCACAGCTCTGCCTCAAGGCTCGATCCCAGCCACGGCGTGGAGCGCTGGCTCTTCATCCCGTCTCCTCTCAACCCAGCCCAGGATCCTGCTTCGTTAAGCAGCTGAGCCCAGCCAGTCTCAGGACCAGGGGCAGCAGTGCTCCAGGTGGCGGCTCTGTTCGTGGGGACTTTGCTTATGCGCAGAGAAAGTCCATACCCACACTTGGAAGGGTTAGAAAAGGGTTAGGCAAGTGTGCCTTTAGTGTGCCTTTAGTTTTTAATCTGAAGAGACTTAGATCCAGGGGTGGAAACACACACAGACAGGCAGGCAGCAGTGTTGCGTGTGCTCCCCATGAAGCGGCCCCCGGAGTGTAGACCTTCACCCTCTGCTGAAGCACAGCAGCAGGTGAGCTGGGGGTGGGGGTCTGGGGACAGAAATTGTGGCTCTGTCCTGCCTCTTCTGTTCCAAGTGCATTGCAAAAGTACTTGTCCCGGTGACCACGGAGCTGAGGCCTACTTGGAATCTGAGTGGCAGGATGTGGGTGGCAGCTGCCCCTCTGGAGAGGAGATGCCCAGGAGTGCTCTGTGGAGCAGGATCCCTCAGAACCACGCTGCCAGGTGATCGCCACCAATCTGGGCTCTGCCGGTGGGCGGCTGCTGACACAATCTGCTTGCTGCTGCTGCGAGCGGGCCCGACTCCGACCCCCTCCTCCAGAAGTCCTCTCTAGCCAGCCAGCCACTTGAGCACAGCGCTCAGCACAAGCTGACTTCTTATACCTGGCGTGACATAGCATGTTATGGACTCCCTGTTCAAATTATTACCTGCACTGTGCTCTGGGGACACTGGCATTCAAGATAATGTGGCCAAATATTCCACAAAAAGGGGCTTTGCTGAGTGAGTAAGTATGGGGGGGCTCAAAGAAGTGGGTTTTGGGCTGGGGAGATGGCTCAATAGAACAAGTGCTTCCCTGGCAAGCCCAAGGGCCTAAGTTTAATGCAAAAAAAAAAAAAAAAGTGGGTTTTAATTTTTCAGGTTGTCATGAAGTCTCTGAAGAGACAAGCGACCTCAGGGGCTTCTTCGGGGCTCCTGAGTAGGGAGATTTCTCCCTGATGCTGGCTCTTTTCTCTAGGCTACCTCTAGGGAAACACGCTCCAGATGTTTTCACTTGCAAGTGCCTCTGTGGCCCCCAGGAGCCACCCAGGGCTCTGTGCTGAGGGGTGGGCGCCCCAAGGTTGTGAGCACCCCAAGGCAGGCACACGGCTCCTCCACGGCCTCAGATATAGACCGCAGGCAGGAAGGCTGCAGACCAGCAGGACCCTGGACCTGGGCCGGGGTGGACTGAGGCAGCGTCGGGGACAGAACAGGTGCAGTGCAGAGTAAAAGCATCGTGAGGGAAAGGGCAAGGCATGCTCAGAGCGGAAAATGGGAATTGAAAGGCCGCCGCTTGCACCCAGCCTGCAAAGCTCGGGGCTGCAACGCTGTCCCTTCTAGGTGGGCTGAAGTGGCTCAGCGTGCCAGAGGCCATGCAGCCTCCTGACTGGGCTTCCTCTTCCTCCACGTGGGTGATTAGCACTTCAATTAAGAAGCAGTGCCTAAGGATAGCTCACTACTATTATAGACCGATGGACTATATTGGATTATTTTGCTGAATTCAAGTACCTACAATATTTAAATGGCAATGGAATACCCTTCTCTGACAAAACTGAACAAAAAAGTGGATATAAATGAAGGAGCATTCTGTATCTGTATATACAAAATAGTTAAGATAGATAGACAGCTACTTTCTCTTAATTGAATGAGAAGAAAGATTTGTAGTAATAACGTTTGGACAGGATATCACGTCTGCATCTTGTACTATGAATAACCACTACAAAGACAACAATAAGCAATGTATTAATTATTGTAACTGTCCTACTAACCTGTTTCGAAACTGTCTCATTGCTATTTGTTTCTCAACAAAATTAATAAATAAAAAAAAGAAGCAGCGCCGCTGACGGTGATGGAGGAAGGAAGGAGGCCGGGAGAGACCCGACTAAGCAGCAAGGCAGGAGCGCTGGTCGCTGTCACCAGCCCTGTCCTTCCCACTGCCACGCCCTCCACCTGCTGGATCTGGGCCCCGCCCTTCCTTCCCCTCATTCCTCGCAGCGGCTGCTCTGGAGATCCGATGTGAGATGTTTACGAAACTCAGCACGGCATGCCAAGGACAGGCTCAGGGAGGACAGGGTTGTGCTGCTGGAGGTGACAAAGCAGAACACAGGGTCCTGCTGGGAGGAACGCCCCTGCGTCCGTCGCGTCCCGTTCTGAGGGCCCACTTCATGCTTGGCCCTGTCTGGAGCTGAGGTGACAAAGCAGAACACAGGGTCCTGCTGGGAGGAACGCCCCTGCGTCCGTCGCGTCCCGTTCTGAGGGCCCACTTCATCATGCTTGGCCCCGTCTGGAGCTGAGGAGGAGCACGGAACACGGGGAGCCTGGCGCTGCTCTTGGGCAGCTGTGTACCTGACAAGTTGCGTTTTTACGATAAAGCTCACAGCGAGGCAGGCCAAGGAGCCTGGGTTGAGCAAGAGAAATGAGTTCCAGAGGGTCTGAGGCCCAGCCCATGTAGCTCTGATGGGAAGCAAATGTCCCTGCTCTTGCCAGGCCAGCAGCAGGAAGGAGGATGGGGTCAGCCCAGGAAGATGGGGTGCAAGGGAAGGAATGTCCTGGGGCTCAGGCCCATGGTCCAGGCAGTGTCAAGAGCCAGCTTTCCCAGGGAAGGAGACCGAGACTGAAGGGGTGTTGACAGCTGGCTGCAGGGACACCAGAAGACCGCCTGGAGTGTCCAGAGGTTGGCACAGGGAGATGGATAGAGAATCAAAGTCCCCCATTGTTGGTTTGGGGGAGATCAGAGTTATACAATATGTGTCTGGAGTTTTAAATATAGCATCAACCCTTAGTACAGGGTAATTTTATGGCTAAGATTCAAGGAAGCCACTCCCAAGATCATCCTAGGAGTGGGGACCAGGAGCCACCCCTGTGCTTGCTGTTGGGGCCCCTTAGTAGGTGTGACACTCAGGTTCCAGATCTGAGACCAGCATGGGCACCCCAGTGACTTAGAGCTATCCTGCCTCCAAATAAAAAGATTGAAAAGGGCTGCGGAGGAAGCTCTGCGTGCAGGCCCTGGGTTCACTTCCCAGGACAGAGATAGAGACAGGGAGACTGAGACAGAGACAGAGATGGAGCCAGAGGCAGACAGAGGGGTCCACAAGCATGATTATTTTAGAAGAGTGTGATAACAGGTATTCTTTTTTTCTGTTTTGAAGTCTGGGGGATAGGAGGAAAGTCACTGCATTTCTGTTAGTAAATACTTTCTCACTATTTAAACAAACTTGCAGACTGGCACAAAAACAGAAATAGAAATAAATGAGGTTAAAGGACTTCGCTTCCTTCTGCACAATTTCTGCACTTCTATGAACGCTGCAAGGGCTTTTCCTATTTGAGTCGGGAAAAGCATCCACTGTCCACTGTTTACCCTGTAAAAGGTCACCTGGCCCCGGGGGCTCCCCCCACACTTCTGTCCTCCAGGTCCCTGAGTCCCAGGAAAGCAGATAGTGAGGCCCCAAGTTCGGTTTCCAGCTCGGGGCAGAGGGAAAGAGTCCCAGGAGCCCGAGCTGGCAGGATCCTAAGGCGGCATCTGTGTGTCTGTCTGTCCTCCCTGGGCCTCCACGCACCTGTCTGTGCCCGGCACACCTCCGAGGGCAGGAGCAAGCTTCCTGTCACCAAGGGACCACAGGACAGGACAGACGCCTGGTGGAACAGGGACTGGGAAGCCCCGCCCGTCCTGTGCTCTGCGCCACAGCCTGGTGCTTGAGGCTTGTGGGGTGGCAGCGGGCCACCCTGTGGAGCCCTGGCTCAGGGAGCACCAGCACAGCTTCCCTGCCCAACCAGGCATAGCCTGGCTCCTGCCCAGGCACCCCTGTGAGTCCTTCATGTGGACGGAGGCAAACATGGACAGAACCGCTGAGAGTACGTGTGCGCGTGTGTGGGACAGAGATGATGCGGGTTCCAGACACGCGGGTCACATCTGCTCCGACAGCAGCAACAGCCTAGGTAACGAAGCCCGCATCCCCGTGCCACCCCGCCCACACTCACCGGGTGGTCTGCGTCTAGCTCCGCCCCGTAGCTGAGAATCTGGTTGGCAAATTTGTCCAGCTCCTGGATGGTCCTCGGGAACCAGGGAACTGCAACAAGACGGCAGGAGCTGTGCTGAGCGCAGGGCCGCAGCTCAGCCCACAGACCGGGCCTGGAAGCAGCACGCTCAGCCTGGAGCCCCGAGCGCCTGCGAGTGCGACGCTGTGGCCCTCCTCCGAAAGCAACCTACACTGTACACCGCATCTCAGACTCAGTCCTTCAGCCCCTCGGGCCTTCAGCGGTTCTGCTCCGCCCAGAATATTTCACGTAGCACAGGGACACCCAGAGCTGATCCCTCCAGAACCCGGTGGACTCCTGAGACCCCATCGCCCATCGCGGCTCTCTGCTGAAGCCCAGCCCAGCCAGGGCCTCTGATCCCCAAGCCAGGCACAAAGGTCCAGCCAAAGCACGGTTGGGCAGCCTGAGGCCTGGAGGAAGACTTGGTTATGAAGGGAAGGGAAGGGAAGAAGGAAGGAGGGAAGGGAGGGAGGCCTTGAGGTGGCGGTGGATCCAGGAGGAGCCCAGAGGCCCAGCAGGCTGGCATGGGCCCTGGCACCACCAGGCCTGTCCATCAGCCCAAGCCTTCTACAGCGTCCCTCCCTGTGCCTCAGGTCTTTCACTCATTTAAAAAAAATTTTTTTTTTTTTTTTTAAAGCTGTGTTCTGCAGCCTGCCACGCTCCGGGGACTGTGCACAGCACTCTGGGCACTGTGCACAGCACTCCGGGCACTGTGCACAGCACTCCGGACGGACGAGCATTTCCTGGAATCCTAGGTAAGGTCCAGGCCTGCTCCGGGGCAGGTCCAGAAAGGTTTCCGGCTCCGCCCTCACGGTGGCCAGAAAAGTGCGTGCCTGCCCCCTCGTGGTCAGGCCGGGAAGTGCCGCCCAGGAGCCCACAGGAAACCTGCCTAGCTCTGGGAAACAAGGGGGTGAGCTTGTCTCCACCGTAGAGTCTATTTACAGCCTGTGCAAGGTCTCTCCTGCCCCGGCCAGTAGTAGACACTTCCGAATCCCGTTCTGAAGGCTTGGCTATGAGGGGAGCTCCTGCTGCCCCATACGACAGGCGAGGCTAGAGAGACAAGGGTCTGAAAAGGGCAAGTCCTGAGATGGCCCAGACTTAGGAACTAAAGTGTGGAAGAAGGGAGGAAGATAGGAGGAGACTCGTGGAGAACAAGCTATATGCTGCAAAAACACTGTGTCAGATTCAGGAATATACGTTAAAACCTAAGGCAAATCTGTTCTGAGCTGGGCGTGGTGGTCTACATGTGTGACCCTTGCCCTCCCAGGCTGAGGCAGGACAATTGCAAGCTCAAGCCCACCTTGGGTAACTCAGTGATCCAGTGAGAACTTGTTTCAAAAAAATGTTTTTTTTTTTTTTTTTTTTTAAAGCCAGCAATGTCGGTCAGTGTGAACGTCCTGAGTTCAATTCCAGCACCACCCTCCCACCCACACACCTGTGTTAACCTAGTGCCACAGTATTCATTCAGCTTGCAGCCAGCTTAGGGGTCACCTGCCTTAGGGGACTATCCTCCTGTCCCAGAGGCCCCTCTGCTTCCTAAAATCTGCACTCTCTCATCTAAAGCCAAGATAGCTTCAGTGCGAGGGACTGTGGTCCTTCTTCCGGACGGCAGCCAGGCTTCTCGACCTGTGGGACATTTTCCCAGCACCTGGCCTGCTCCGCTGCTGTCCTACCCAGACTTGGCTGGGACAGCGCCGCGGTCCCAGTAGCCCCTCACTTCCCAGGTCCTCAGCCCTGGAGCTTAGGTTGAAGTAACAACTCTCACACACACCTGTGGGTCAGCTGGTCCAGTCAGGGTTCAAATGTGGGTTTAGCTGACTCCACAGGCTCTGGCCTGGACCCCAAATCCATCCTGCCACTTAGGGGGAGGTAACACAGCCACCTGGTTAGGAGGGCTAGCTTGGAGCCTGCCCACAGTGACACAGTCCACTGTCACAGTAAGAATGACAGCTGGATCCTCCTGGCTCAGTGACAGGCCTCAGCACTGTCCCTCCTGTCCTCAGAAGAGGGCAGCAAAGTAGGAGTGATGATGGCCCATCCTCAGAGAGGGTACTCAGCACAGACTGGGGGCTCTGGCTGGACTGCCTTGCTTCCCACTGCCTAGATGCTGCTGCTGTCCCGAGGGCTCAGCCCCATGCCTGCCCATGTGGCCCAGAACCTAGCTTCCCTTCTTTTGGTGACTAATGTGTCTCTGGCCCTCCTTTCGCAGTGATTCTGTCATCTGCCCTGCACAGCGAGCACTCTCAGCCCAGGAGATGAGTTAGAAGCCCTCAGCAGAGCCCTCAGGAAAGCACCTCCTGGGAGCCTTTCAGGGTGGCACCATCAGGACAGGGGGCCGCTCCCCTCCTCCCTGCGACGCCTCGCTGATAAACCCCAAGGCCCCTCCTGCATGCAGTCCTGCACCCCCTAGGCTGCACAGTCCTCTGGCCTGGGACCCTGAGCTCACAAGGGGGCCCCAAGTGGGTACTGAGACCTCCCGTGGGCCAGGAGCTGGAGGGCGACAGGAGCTAAGTGAGAGTGCAGATTCGGCAGTGTGGAGAGCCCAGAAGAGGAGGGCGGGCTAAGGAGGTGAAAGTGGCGTCGATGTTGCTTGTCACTTCCCTTACTTCTCTCCCACTGTTGTACAATTGACAGCTAAAAAGTGCATCTGCTCAAGGTGCACCGTGCAGTGGCTTGCCATGCAATGTGGGGTGGCCCCCAGTGACATTCACGAGCACAGTCCTTACGTCGTGCGCACCCCCTCCCGCGTGTGCGTGGTGAGGACACCTCAGAGCCGCGTTCACAGTTTCAAGCATAAAATAGGTTATTGTCAATTGTCCCCGACACAGTGCTGTGCATCAGACCCTGGAAATCGTTCATCTGACCACGCTTGGATCAACACCTCCCCATTTCTGTCTTCCCCCAGCGCCAGGCAACCCCTGCTCTATCCTCTGCTTCTATGAATTTGACTTGTAAACTCCAGACCTGAGCGAGATCATAAAGTATGTGTCTTTCTGTATTCCACTTACTCCGCTTACTTAGTAAAAGGCCCCCATCGTTCATTGCTACTGTCCCAGCCCGCAGGACTTCCTTCCTCTTGATGAATAAATAATAACTTGGCCATTATATGCCACATTTTCTTTACCCATCAGTACAGAGCCCTAAATTGTTTCTCTATCCTGGCTACTGAGATTAATGCAGCAATAGATTTGGGAATCCAGGTATTTCCTGAAATGCGGATTTTACTATTCCCGGAAGTAGGGCAGCCAGACTACAGAGTAGCTCTTTAAGAGGAAGCCCTGTACTGTTTTCCTTCATGGCTTTGCCAATTTGCATCTTTGGTAACTGGTCGGAGGCTTCCCTTCCCTCCATGCTCACTGGTTTTTTTCTTCTGTTTTATTTCAGTACAGGGATGCTATTTTAAAAGATATTTTGTGTCTCTAAGCTTGACCCAAATAGTCATGGCTCAGGCTTCTCTGGGGCAGCCAGGCTGGGTCCCGAGTCCAGCGCGCATTTCCCCCTTATCTCAGAGATTGCACTGATAAAGAGCCCGGCCACAGGGCCAGCCAGGCCAGGCTTCCATCCTGTCTCTGCCCTTCCTGTCTGTGGAAGGAAGACAAGTTATTGGGGGTCAGCCTTTCTGTCTATAAAATGGTGACAACAGTATCACAGAGCACTAAACTGTAAGAACCACAAGAGGCTGAGGAGTTAATGGCTGTGACATTAACTATGCCGAGGACAGTTTAGGCACATAGTAATGTCATCATTGAGCCATAAGCTACTGCAGGTATTGTACCTCTGCACCTACACAGGCGCCATTGCTAGACAACCCTGTGTCCTGGAAAGACAGGCAGTTGTGTCCGGTAAGAGCGTCACAGAGCACAACACACGAACCGAGATGGCTGAGTAACAGCCACCTATCCGGTCCTGTCGTGTAGCTGGCCATCACTGACACAAGCCCATTGTACAGCAAATAACTGCGCATATTTTCATACATAGACAGGGTACCTTCTCCTGGCTGAGCTCACTGTCACATAGAGAAGATAGCAGAAGGTTTTTGCACACCAGAAAGCACGTCACGTCGTGAGCGCTCGTGTCTGGGGCCACAGCGCGCCTCGAGATGCTCTTTCCTGTCACCGGGGAAAACGAGCGCCATAGCGGAGGGGACCCATGGTAGTACGGTGACCGCCGCCCTGGAAATGGTCAACGGGTCCCCAGGGAGCTAAGAGTGGCAAAGGAGGAAGAGGAACGCGGAGGGAGGAGAGAGCGGAGCTGGGCTGGGAGCTGGTTCTCCACGTCGCTGCAGCAAGGACAAGCTCCTGACTGGCCTCGGTCTCCCCGCTCCGCACACGTGTTGGATTCACTTTGCCGACACCCGTGGAGTCCTGCGAAGCCAGCCGAGTGCCCCCAGAGCCACCAGCGTCGCCAGTGGGCTTCCTTCCCGCGACTGCATTCGCTCTGCACCCGGCCCCGCCCCCCGCAGCGCCCCGCCACTTCTCTCTGTCCTGCTGACTCGGCCTCCCAGAGTGCGGGGCTCACAGGGTCCCCCTGGGCCCCTTTGCTCCCCAGTCTGGCTGAAGCCTATTTGCTCCGCCAGACTGAGCAGCTCACGTGGCCATCTCCGATGTGAACGGCAGAGGGCGCCGGAGGACTTGGCTGCAGGGCTTCGCAGCGACCTCTCGGGAAAAGCAGCCAGAAGGGCGATTAGAAGGGAAGGTCCGAGCTGCCCTGAAGGCTGTGGTGCCGAGCGCCGGGGGGCCTCTGGTGGCCTTCCAGCCCACGACCCTCCGGGGTACTCCATGCTGGTGCCCAGCTGACCCCGGGGCCTGGTGCCGAATGACCGCTGCTCCCTGCTTTCTTTCCCCCTTTGCCAAGTGACAGTGTGCCCAAAGCTGTCATGGATGTCGGTGAAGACTGAAGGGAGCTCGCTGCCAGAACGCAGGGCTGCTGAGAACTCTGCCCGGCACCTGGCCGGCGCTTGGTGAGAACTTGGCGCTGTTGTTACTCCCGTTGTTGTTCTGTCATCGTGAAGGGTGACAGGACTGGGACACCG